GAGGCTCTGTCTCAAAAAAAAAAAAAAAAAAATACACAGAGCTCTAAATACCGTTTGGAGTGGAGAAATTCCACTGTCAGGGAACTTCCTGATCCAAACCACACTGTGGTGTGGGAAGCAGACCTTCACAGATGCATCACAAAATCGCACCTGTGACGTCTTTGGTATGTGAAAAATGCTCCTGTCATTAGGTGGGAAAAAAGTAAGCATCTGTGTTGCATGATTTTACGTTAAATAAAGTATAAAGACTACAGGAGTAACATATGTGACCCTGTTGGTGCTACCATTAGGAGTGAGTGGTCTTTCCTGACATGGTCGGTTTGTGACAGTTCAAGGAAAAATGCTGAGCTCAAGACAGAGGGAGAGAGCCCATCTGGAGAACAGTAGGGGGCTGCTTAGTGGGACCCACAGGGAATTGGGGGACAGAGCCAGAGATTTGACCCCAGAGTGGTGGGATCCCTGGCAGGGGAGGTGGAGGAGCTACAAGGACCCACCTGACTCCAGGGGGCAGCAGGAGAATCATGAAAGCTTCTGGCCTCAGGCTTCCTATCTGCAGGAGTCCACACTCGTCTCTTTCTCCCAAGACCCTCAAAGTCAAAAGCTGCTAACATGTGAACCCAGACATAGTGACTAAAGCTGAGGGCTCCAGCTGGTGCATGTAGGTCGCATGGTGGGCTGTTCTACTGCCTGCCTCGGACACGCCTCTCCTGCTGACCTGAGTGTCTGTCCTGGCACTCACTGAGGCCAACAGTACTGGTTCATCTCACATAAGTCCTAAGTGGCTGACAACAGATCAGCATATTAAGACTGTTTTTATCATGAACTCTCACTATTCTGTACTAAGAGTAAAGACATAGCTGTGCTGTATTGTATATTGTGGCCTTTGGACCTGACTCTGCCACTTCTTGCCACAGCTGTCCCGAGAAAAACAGCAATTGTGGCCTCAGTGTCTTCATATGAGGGGTGGGGAGTGCACACCACCTTAAGCCTGACCCCTGGCAGCACCAGGCAGCACGCTCCAGGTGCAAGGGGGAGGCTCCTGCTGGCCAGTGAGCTGCATGGCCCAGTTCTTGAGAACTGTGGGCTTCCTAAGAGCACTGCAGGATGCAGCCACTGCTTGAGTCTCTCCCAGACAGCCTTGGTCCTCATGTCGCTCAGCTCTACATCTCAAATCTGAGCTTACTGGTGCCACTGAGCTCTTGATGCTATATCTACGTTGCCCTGTTATGGCTTAACAAGTCTCGGTGCTTGCCACGTCCAGTCCATCATGAGAGCTCCCCACATTCTCATGAGTGCCAAGGTTGTGCCAGCTCAAAACCTTTGCATAGGACCCTGGCACTTGCCCCAGGGCCTGCTGTCTGTGAGTCTGGCATTTCTTCAAAACTGAGTGAGACCAGGGGCTGTCCAGAGAGCCTGGGAGGGTCCTACCTATCCCCCATATTGTGCCCCCTGGTAGGAAGCTGTTTTTGTGGCACCCTGCTTTCATTCTCATGTGCGTGGCTGAAAGTACAGCCCCCACCCCCCCACACACACATACCCACCCAAGACTCACTGTAATTGAGGCTATAGAAAGCAAACCCTGTCCCAGGGTAAAAGGACCCCTTCTCTGTCACAGAGAAGCACTGCATCTTCGTGTTCACTTTCACTGTTTCTTGGATAATTGTGTCTTCACTGTTCAGCCAATTCCAGCTCCTCATGCAGCCATCCAGACGAGGGTTGATCTGGAGGGACAGAGAAACCTCAGTGGCCGCCTGGGAGCCAGACACCATGGCAAGAGGTCATGTGCTGAGGCCAGGCTTGTGTCAAAGGTGGAAATCTATCCCAATGTGGAGAAATTGCATTTGTGGTAGTTGCTTCAAAAGTTTTGAACTTTACAAAATGACTCAACACCTGTTTCTATGCAGGCTTCCAGCTAGTGTGAGCTCCAGAAATAAAGATGTGTTTTAAAACTCCCTAAGGAAAAAAATTGGAAAATTGTGTAAGTTCAGGCCAAACAATATGAATTATCTTACCACAAATCATTGATCTGAATTATTCAACATCCAGTGTGGTTGTGAGTAAATTAGGTCACCTCAGACTTTACCTGCTGGTGAGGCAGTGTGAGCTGGGCAGACAGAGGGCTGCAGACCTGGGGTGTGGCCTGAGGTCAGAGTGTCAGGACACTCTCTCAGGGCCTCTGGACCGCAGGCTCCAGGGCTAACTCTACTGGCCACTGGCACTCAGAGACAACCATGCCCTTTCTCTATTAGGTGTAGGTTCCAGTGTTGATGGCAGTTTGGGGAGGAGACCTGTGAAGGTGGGTATGTGGCACAGGGACGGGAAGAGAAGGCCGGACCTTGAGAGTGGCCGCTGCTGACCACCTATCACCACTATTTCCCCTGTACAGATCATAGAAGGATTACAACCTGACATGTTCTTGGGAATTCTTAAAGGTGATTTTTCTTTTTTTTCTTTTTTGAGACAGTCTCACTATGTCACCCTCAGTAGAGTGCTGTGGCATCACAGCTCACAGGAACCTCAAATTCCTGGGCTTAAGAGATTCTCTTGCCTAAGCCTCCTAGGTAGCTGGGACTCCAGGCGCCTGCTGGGACTCCAGGTGCCATGCTATTTTTTTGTTGCAGTTGCCATTGTTGCTTAGCTGGTCCAGGCTGGGTTCAAACCCACCAGCCTTGGTGCATGTAGCCGGTACCCTAACCACTGTACTACAGGCGCCTAAAAGTGATTTTTTCGTATGAAAGAATAGTTTCTTTGTGTCTTATCTCCACTGTAATATATAAATTTTTATTATCAGTTCTGATGGAAACTTAAGTGAGTCTCCTAAGAAAAGGTGACATAAATGGCATAACTGCCTTGTCTGCTCTGTTCCTTCCCAAACTTGGCTAATGCAACATACATGATAGCTCAGGGCTAGATCACTCCCATCCCTGATGCTGATCTGGTGCCCTCACCCAGGAGCAGGTGCCAGGACTCACCGGCTGCACCAGTTCTTTCTCCTTGAAGGGGATGCCACCCACGGTGAGATTCAGGTGGTACAGGCCTCTGTCCCGCTGAAACAGGTCCCCAGCCACCGCTATCTTCATAACAGCATCCTTGTTCACCTTCACCACCAGATTGCGTTCCAGCTCCTCCACGGAGATCTGCAGAGAGCACAGCTGTGAGGACAGGGGGCACCTTCCGAGGGGCAGCAAGCCTCAGGGGCAGGCTCCTTACCCTGGGCCTGGGGGGACCTGAATGCATCAAGTCATCTAAACTTTCCTGGTAGAAACACTTCAGAATCTATCACTATATAATCTATGTATATTCCTAAACTTCCAGAAGAGTTTCAGTTTCCTCTTGTCTGAAGTGGAAACCCATTTACATAGTTGGGTCTGATGTGATAAACAGAACATGTTTTTGTCACAGCCAGGATGGGGCCTAGCTGGTGGGTTAAGCAGGCAGCGGCCTCACTGATGGGCGTCCTGGTCCTCCAGAAGGACCAGCACCATGTGGGACTGGGAATGTCCGGCAGGACTGGATGGCTACCATCTCTGGGCCCCTCACCCCAAATATGTGGCATACGCACCCTGAGTCCCTGAAACCGCCCCCTCCTCAGTCTGCCTTTTTCTGTAGCTGTGTGGAGAGCATCCCTCCTGCTATTCCTTTAAGTGGTCAGGAAAGGGGGGATTAGACATTACTGGGCAGGATGGAAATACCAGCAAATGCCTACAGTGTTTTCATTGGCTGAGCCAGGGTGAATTTTTCCATTTTATCTTTTCTTCTAAGGACAGAGTGCTTTTCCATTTCTCTCCGCACGTTTACTTCCAGAGGCCCCTCCGGCCAGGGCCCCAGGCGCTGTTGGTGGAGGTTGTTTGCTGCCAACAGTCAAGCTGTGGGTTGGGATGTGGGACTGACCTCTGCTACCCAGGTGCAGGACTGTGAAGACCCCTAGGGGCTGCCCATGCAGCTGGGGTCCAGGCAGGCTGGACGTCTCTGGGAAGGGCAGCCCCAGTGCCAGCTCACCTGGATCTTCAGCGGGTGCCCACGGAAGCCCATAGACAGTGGCATCCATGCCACCTTTCACGGAAAGCAGGGCTCACAGGGCCTCCTGAGGCCACGGGTCAGGGAGCCACATGTGGATGGGAGCCCTGGGGCCTGTGGTCCAGGTCCCAGGTGAAGCTGCAGCTGGATCCTTCTGTGGCAGGTGTCCTGCGCTGTGGAGCATGAGCAGCCACAGCCCCTCTGCTTGCCCCGGTGACACAATGGAATGTCCCCAGGGCTGAGCACCAGGGCTCTGGCTCAAGGCCTGTTCTGAGGAGCCTGACTCAGATATGGGATAAAGTGATAGGGCCCCGGAATGAGAACTAGATGGGGGGAGTCCTTGGGCCCCATTTTGCATCCAGCATGGTGCCTAGGGCCACCCCGGCTAATAGTTCAGCAGGTGAGTGACAGACCCTGGCTGGGCACAGAGCAGCCCAGGCAGCCCAGGGGCAGTGGCCACACACTCACTGTCTGCCACGTGCCATGGTTGATGACAGGCCCACTGCTGGTGACACGGCCCACACCATTGTAGCGTAGCTGCAGCTCCAACCGGCCAGCCCGCAGGGCCAGCACAATCCAGGTGCTGTCCTGGCGGCCTCCGGCGAAGAAGAGGACGCCCTCGGGGTCAAAGGTCCGGAAGTCAAACTCAGCCACGAGCCTGGGCACATGGAGGAGCAGTCATGTTCTTGCCCGGGACTGTGCTAGACTCAAGGCTAAGGCATCTCCTCAGGCCCTGGGACCTGCAGGAACAGCCACTTGGCCTGTTGGTCACCGTGTGTAGATGGCCTGCTCACCGGGTGGGCTGCAGCCGCTTGAAGCGCAGCCTGATCACAGGGGTCCCGCTGAACATCCGGCCCAGGTACAAGGACTTCACACTCTTGGCCACACCGAAGGGCACACAGGGCAGGATGTCCTGTGGGGATGGGCCAGGCCAGGTCAGCCAGACACACCTCTGCCCACCCTCCCTGACCCCAAGGCCCAGCTGTGCAGTACCAGGTCCCAGTTCTCAGGGCACATGGCCACCTACCTCTCACCCCTGAAACTTCCAAGACCATTTACAGCCTAGCCCACCACATAGGGGACCCCAAGTGATGGAGTTGCTCCCTAGGGGCAGTGTCCTACATTTTCTCTGCTGTACCTACCACTTCCTTCCCTTCTAATTTCCCTTTTTGTGTTACTTTTTAAGTTACGAAATATTTCAAACATACATATAGAGACGTGTAGAGCATTGTAGAAAGCTACTACACATTCTTAGAAAATAAGTAGCACATGGAAACCTGAGAGCTCCCTGCTCTGGGCTTCAGGTTCTCCACTCTGCCTGGGAGGCCAGAGGCAGGGCAACTGTGAGCTGAGCCCTGGCAGCCCAAGCTACCTGCCAGGTGGGCTGGACGAACGCAGAGGGAGGCATCTCCTACCAGGCATGCATCTCAGTAAAGAACGCTGCAGTGTGAGTAGCTGGACCTCTCTAGCCCAGACACCAAAGGCAGCTACCACCAGCAAATTCCAGGGTCCATGGTTTTGTGAAGTCATATGGTGGCTGTTTCACCTGAAGATCCCTTTATTTCTGTTTATTATAAGCTACTATCCTCAAAACCCAGGCAGATTTCTTTAGCCTGTACCAGGACTCCAGGTGTGCAGGAGAGGTAAGTCCCCATGCAGGTGCCATGTCTGCAGGTGAGGCCCATCAGGCTGTGCTGGCCCCCTGGCATGCTGGCAGAGGCCAGGTAACATATCCAGTGGAGTCAGGAGCTGTTATGGAGACTTTATAGAACCAAACTTCTGTCACAGAACAGACACATCACCTCTTGATGGGGCCTGGAGATCCCAAGCCTTTTAAAAAAGCTAAGTCTTCACAGCATTTCTCCCTAAAACTCTGTCAGTGGTAAGGGTTGCAGGCAAGGCATAGCAAGTAGGGCAGCCCACTGGCCCCTAGGCCCCCTACCTCACAGGTGTCCATGTCCAGGGATAGCTTGAAGCCCCCGCGTCCATCACAGTGGCAAGTGTAGCTCCCTGGGGAGTTGATGCAGGCCTGCTGGCAGCGGCCCTGCAGACACTCGTCCACATCTGCCAAAGGGACAAGGCGGTGAGCAGGTAATGCCTCTGTGCCCCACCCATGGGACAGCAGTGCTGGCTCCTGGTCACACACAAGGCATGCCACAGTGAATATGCAGGTGTGCTAGAGAACATGGCTCAGGAACCACATGTCCCCCTCCCAAGCAGCTGATCACGGCCCCTCATCCCTGCCTGGTCTCCTCATGCCAGCCATGCCTTCTTGAGGGAAGCAGGTATTGCCACCACCTGAGGACCCTTTGAGTGAGCCAAAACTACTCACGCACATCTCCAAGTGCTAAGCTGGATTTAGGTGTTCCCAAAAGGATTGAGGGGCCAAGAGACAGCCGTGATGGGAAATGGAGGATGGTGAGGGCACAGCCCACCTATTCCCTCACCCTGCCTGGGCAGCCCCTCCCTCCCCAGACACTGACCCCTCAGGGGCTCTGCAGCCTCCTGTGTTGGCCAGGGTCCCACATAATGACTGCAGGGGGGAAACAGTAAGAAGTAGACTTGTTCCCCCACTCCCCCTGAACCTGGCAGGGCTTAGGGGGAAGTGATGTTCTGGGCCTGTCCAGTCAGGGACAGGGTGGGGAGTGCGTTGGCCAGAGGGGTCCAAAGTCCTCTCCTCTGGTCTGCGACCAGCTGGAGCAGGGCAAGCACATGTGTGACTGCAGGTGTGTGGTATGGGTCTGCACATGTGTGTGCACATGCTCCTGTGTGCATCTTACGTGAGTGCATATGGACACGTGTGTGGACGACATGGCAGCAGAGACCACTATCCTGCTGCTCTGAGTGGGGCTCAGTTTCAAGAGTCAGAAAATTCCTTTCTGGGGGTACCCTGCCTTTCCTCTCTTGTCTGTCCTGGCCCCATGGACCACCCCTCAGGTAGTGACCATTGCATTCTCAGGCTCGAGACAGAGAGGCTAGGGCTTGGTGGCTGGGGGCATGGTACCTTGGCAGGCCTTCTCCTGGGGGCTGTATGCATAGCCCTCGTCGCAGGGGCAGGAATAGGAGCCGGGCAGGTTCTCGCAGCGCGCCTCTCCACAGGCCTCAGGGGCCGCACACTCATCTGTGTCTACAGGCAGAGCCAGCTGTCAGCAGCCTTCAGTGCCTTGCACAGGGTTGAGACAGCCACAGTGGCTGCAGCGAGGAGGACAGCTGGGGGTACCCTCCAAGCCTCTGGGCCTGTCTACCTGGACAGACAGCCCCGGGTCCAGGCAGGGGGGTCATGGCTGTGCCATGTAACTCATGTGTCAGCTGCAGGGGGTGAGAACTTTCCCAGTGAGGACCCTATCCTGGGGAGAACCACCTTCCTGCTGTAGTGACCACAGCCCTAAGACCCACACCCAACCCAACAAGCCAGTGTCCTTGCCGAGATCCCAAGTGGACACAAGGGGCAGAGGACACAGATAGGGACAGAGAGAAGCCAGATGGGAGAGGTAGGGAAGGTACACAAGGGTAGGTTTCTCTGCCCCATGGGCAGTGGGTGGATGCCCAGCCTGTTGGTCAAGCACTCACTCTGGGTTACACATGTGGGCCCTTTTGACAGGGCTGTGCTTACAGCTGGGGACTTCCTCTCCAGGGTCAGGGACAAAGTCATGAGAGGAGCACCACGGGGGAAGTGGGTTGGCTCCCATGCCAAGATGGGAATCATGTTGTATGGATGTGGGAGTGACTTTCAGGTGGTCAGGGATGGGAACCGCTAACATAGACAAAAACAGAAGCTTCTCTTTGAAAATAGGGGAGCAGACCCTGTGGGGGTCAGACCCTCTGTCCTGCCCCAGCACACCTGCCACTCCTTGCAGGCTGCTGCAGCCTCGTGTTCAAGAGCTGGCAGAGGCACTAGGGATCATGTCCCAGAGGCCCGGGGACACGCCTAGGCCCATATGGAGAGGTGCTCACATGGAGAGGGTCTGGGGATGGAGGAGGAAGGTGGCAAAGTCCAAGGTGATGCCTGGGAGAGAGACGCAGGGCTGCCTGAGTTTGCAAGGACTACTGGGCATCGCCAGGGCTCCCCTGCTCATCCCTGGGCTGGAGCAGACAGGAGCCAGTGACAGGAGGGCTGGGGAGCTAAGTGGTTGTGCCCAGGCTGCACTAACCACACAGAACCACCCCAGGTTCCCTGCAGGCTGGACTGACCCCAGCCCTTGCCTCAGGTACAGGTTGAGTCATTCCTGGCAGAGTGCCTGGTAGCTCTGAGACTGGGGCAAGCCCAGGCTTGTGCTGGCTCTGCAGGACGCCTGGCCCCCATCCCTCAGATGGAGGACATGTCAGTACCAGTAACATCTCACAGAGGGGCAAATACGCCCCATGCAGAAGGCAGGGCAGGCTTGGGCGTGGGTATGGCCTGACCCACCTTGGCAGGTCCTGCCGTCTGTGGAAAGCTCAAAGCCACTGTGGCAGGCGCAGTGGAAGCTGCCTGGCTTATTGTGGCAGATCTGGCTGCAGCCGCCATTCTGTTGGTGGCACTCGTTGACATCTGTAAATAAGCACAGGCTGCAGAGGACCCTGGGCAGAAAACATGCACCTTAGGGCAGAGGGGGAGGGGCACCCTAGGGCAGTGGTGGGAGGGCAGCAGTGCTAGGAAGCAGGGCAAAATCTTACAGGACAGTCAGGCCAGCCTAAAGGGACAACCTGCCCCGCCAAAATCTGCATCAGAGCCCTGGGGCTATTTTTTTCCAAGGTGTCTTTGCTGACCTGAGGCCTACACTCAGGGAGGTCAGAGGTGAAGCCACTGCCCCTCTCAGTGGGTGCTGAGGTCCTTCCATGTTGCTCTTCCAGGTTTCCCAAGGAGCTCCCCTCCCCACCCTCCTGGGGGCACAGCTAGGGTAGTGGGTGATGGTATAGGGAGAGGCCAGAGGGTAGGAGGCCAAGCTATGTACCCAGCAATGGCAGCCCATGGTGGCCTACCTTTGTCACAGAGCCGGCCCCCCCAGCCAACTTTGCACAGGCAGAAGAAGTTGCCCATGAGGTCTTGGCAGTCTTGAGTCCCTTCCACATTGCAGGGGTTTGGAGTGCACTGGTCAGGCAGTTCTGAGTTGAAGGACACAAAGGAGAAAGTCGTCTTGTGCCCTGCCTAAGCCTTCCACACCCCTGGGAGTAGAAGGATGGAGGCCTTTGAGCAGGCACACTGGGGCAGGCCCACCCTAGGTCCCCTACATTGGCCCCTGGCTGGAAGGGTCCTCATCTCTGGCCAGACCCTATGGCCAATTCCAGAAAAACCCAGGTCAGCTGGGAAGGAGCAGCAGCCAGCCGCAGGCCAGGTGGGGATAGGTTGAGGGACCTTCCAGAGACCCGGTCAAACAGAGGCCTGAGCTGACCCAGGGCTTTCAGGCAGGGTAGGAACATTCCACCTCCCCAGGTCAGGCCTAGGCTTTCCACGTAGGCACCTCTCCAAGCTAGCACACTCTTCACGTGGGCAACTCTCCAAATAAGCACACATGTGTTCCTCTCTACACAGGCACCTCTCCAAATAAGCATGCTTTCCATGTGGGCATCTCTCCAAGTGAGCACACTCTCTATGTGGGCAACTCTACACATGAGCACATTTTCCATGTGGGCACTTCTCCAAGGGCACCAAGGCAGCTGTACAAGATAGGGAGAGATCAGGCCCTGGCCCAGGCTGCACCGGTGTGAAGAGTCCCTTAGGGATCTCTTGATGCCACTTTCTGGTTAACCCCCAGTCCTGCGAAAATCTTGCAGGCTTTAGACAGGTGTATTCTGCCCCCTCAAGAAGTACAGATGTGCAGGCCAAGTGCACAGACATGAGCAATGTCTGCCTGGTTTTAGCCTCCATTTTAGGGCCTATGGCTGAAGAAACCGTTCTGATGTAGCTGCTTTCTGAGGAGTTTCTCATAGACGCAGCTGAAGTGTCCATGACATGGAGGCTGGGGCGATGCCACAAAGAGGCAGGAAACCTCCACATGTGCAATTACGCAACCCTGAGATTTGCAGAGTTGGCATAAAGAGCTATTATTGCACCCAGAGCTCAAAGAGTCCTTTCATGGGGCAGCTGGCTAAGCAGAAGTACTCAGGTCTGTGCAGAGCAGGGTGGAGTGCACACTGGACTCCCCTCGACACACTTCAGGACTCACCAGGCTGAGCATCGTAGGACATATAAGCAGCTCGTCTGGGGCATTTCTGCTCTAAGAAACCCCAGTGCTGGTGTCCACCAAGGTATAGGTGTGGCCAAGGTGCCTGAAGACACTCAGCTAGTAGGGCCATTTTCTGGCCCTACTTGGCTCTTTGCTAGACATGGTGTCAAGACTGACCGGTGCTGTGTGCTACTGTCCAGTTTGCGCACAAAGGCTCTGTGATTCTGGTTTCTCAGCAATCCTGCATCTCTGCTGCTGCCTTCGCTCCCCAAGACTGTCATTTGACTTCCTCTCGTGAGTGAGCTGTTTTGTTTACAGATACTACATATCTCCAAGTTCTTCCTTTCCCTATCTCCTTCTCCTCCTTCAAGGGTAAGTTTGCCCTACCCGGGGGTCCAACCCCAGGCTGGGGGCTGGTTTTTCAGTCAGAAGGCCACTGTAGGCTCGCTTACCTTGAGGGCGGGGTTTGACTGCATTGAGACCAGGACAAAGCAGTGGTCCCAGCACGGCTTAGTATATGGGTGAGGGTAATGGGCACATGCTCTCTGCTGCCCAAGATGGTGCTGCCCTGGCTGGCTGTCAGAAGGCCCCAGCCCGACTGGTCCCAGGCTGATCCACATAAGGCCCCACCACATTCCCATACTGATTCTGGCATCCTGTGGCCACCCACGTCACACCATGCTGGTTCTCCTCATGGGACCCATCTAGGACCTCTGAATCATACTGTGTCACTCTTTTTTAAAACAAAGAAACAGACTCAGAGTGCTAAATGACCACCCCCAAGATGTGAAACTACTGAAATATTTTTTTTAACTCCTGAGAAACAAACTTGCTTTCCATATGTTCCCTCATAGGCAGGGAGTGTGCTGGGGCTGCAGCTTGAATGTTCTTGACTCCTGAGAACATGCAAGGCCTCAGCCTCTCTCTGTCCTGCCCCATGTGGTCTGGAGTTACTCACTGATTACAAGAGAGTATAATGGGCCAGGCCAGCATTCCCCTATGGGGCTGCCCCAGGAGGACGTGCCCAGGCTCTGTCAGTTTAGCACTTGCCACTGATTTGTCACCTCACCCTGAAGGGACTGCTGGTCACACCAAGTCTAGAGAACTGCTTCCCCACCAGCAGGTTCACGTCAGTGGTCAGCCCATGGACTCCTGATACTTCCCCCTCTTGTGGGTGTAGGTATGCCTGGCACCAGACAGGTGGTGACAAGTGTCTACGTTCAAAGTGGGGCTCCTTCAGCTTGTGCCAGGCTCACGGTGGATCCTGGCACCCCGGCAGGTTGGTGCTGACCAGGCTTCTCAGGGAATCTATGTAACTGTCCTGGCTCCCTTCTGAGTGGTCCCATGGTACAACACACATTTTGCCTGCTTTGCACAAATTAGAGCCTAAAGAACTACTTTGGATGTCAGTGGAGCTGGGTCAGAACACATGTCTGAGACCCTTACCCATCTGTTGGTAGCAATTGCTATGGACACATGTGCAGGGACTCGTCAGCTGGTCAGAGTCAGGGAAAGGAAGTTCAGGGCAGGGGTCCTGCATCACCTTGGCTGAGAGCCAGCTGTTAGCTCCTATCCTGATGCAGCTATTGCTCAGCTGTAACTCAGGTACTGTCCACCTGGCATGCTGGGACATGAGCATGGTTACAGCAGGTCAAGAGGTACAGTAGGCCCAGGGTTGGACAGCCAAGGCTGTGTCTGCAGCCAGACCCCTGGTGTGGCCCGATACCAGTGGCCCCAGAGAAAGCCTACAGATCTGACTGAAGGCCTGGTTAACTCGGTCTGAGATTTGCCTAAAATTTCCAGGCCACTACCCCATACACATCTGTCTGCAGCCCTGGCCTGGCCAACTCCCACTGGGCAGGACTGTCCCTAGACCCCCACATGCTCTTGGTGCTAACCACACTTGCCCTCCCTGGAGCACCCCGCTCATCCCTCCTCTCACTAACTTCCCCAGTGGGAGTTTATCTCCAGGACAAAAGGAAGGAGCCATGTGAAGTGCCAGAATTCAGCAGCTGCCCAGCAGACTTCCGTGGAGTCACACTGACACATGCAGGAAAGCAACATGAGGAGATAAACCTCCATAAGCCCCACTGGATGAGCTGGTCTCGCCCAGCATGTGTGACCTACAGGCTGGCCTGTGTTGGGAGATAAGGAGCCTACCCTCTACCTACCCTACCCTCTACCTTAAGGCTGGAAGGGAGTGGCCAGGTCAGAATGTGCAGCCAAGTGCTTCCTGCTGCGCCCAAAGGCCTGTCCCTGGACCAGCACCTGTCCAGGGCCCTGTGTTCCACCAGAGAGGGATGGGGAGGGGACATTTCCTCCTGGGGAGAGCCCATGGGGCTGGGGCTCATCACCTGCTGCCCACCTGGACCACAGCCTATGGGCAAAGGACATCAGGAAGCCCTGAGCATCAGATGCCCACTGTGATTTCCATGCAGGCAGGTCTAGTGCTTTGGCTGTATCCACCCAGGAACTGCCCATGGGGAAAGAAGGAAATGGAGATGGAGGCTCTTCCTGAGCCCGGCCCTGTGCAGCGTACTGCCTGGTCCCAGGCCCCCCTTGCTGGGCACCAGCCCCAATAGGACTCACTGGCTCTGTGCTTGCCTGGGGCTGAATTTGGGCTCCTTGAGGCCATTGCTTTAGTTTTAACAGTAATAGACACTATTATTATCCAAACACATAACTCAAGCCATGATGAGGGCTTATGAACCCATACCAGAGAATTTTACAAAGGAACATACAGATCAAAGGCTGCGTCCACCTCCCACAGACTTCAGGTGGTCAGAACACCTGCCCACTGGCAGGTGTAATCTGGCAAATACTGAAGGCCCTGGAGAGATGGCACTTCTCTCACTGGATGAGCAGAGCCACCAGAGCTTCACTGATACTCCTAGCAGGGAGCACGCCAAGAGTGTCACCCTCCTCCCAGCATAGGACAAGCTCTAGGGCCCCGTCCCCTCTGCTGGGCAAACCCCACCCATAGGAGGCGAGGAAGCCTCAACTCCCACTAAGAAGGGTCCGTCGCTGCAATGGAAGCATTTTCAGAGATGCTGACACTCCAAAATGAGATCGTGGTTAGAGTAAGCAGCCCTGTAGGCTTGATGGGGCTGCAGAACATGTGCAGATTCACTGATGAGGCAGAGGGGACCCTATTTGCTGTAACAGCAAAAAATAACCCAGAATAAACTTAACAAAGGAAGTGTAAGGTCAGAATGAAGAAAAATGCTTGAAGGGACCCAGAACAGAGTCTTTTCCCAAAGGGAAGGAGCACCCTGTGGATAGCGAGGAGTGCTCAGTGTTGTTCAAACACAGGTGTCAAAACATGCATTGCAACATGCATGCATAGCCGAAAATATCAAAAGGAGCTTTTTAGGGTTAGGGACTTTTTGAGGTTTAGTTCATCTTTAAAAAATAAGCAAGATAGTTGAGACAAGACTGAGGAGGAGGGCTGAGCATGACATCTGCCAGACAGGGAGGGACAGGTCTAGACCCACCTCGCTCATCTCATCCCAGGAGCTCACAGGTGAGTCACAGGGGAAACACACAACTTCTGAGAAATCTCAGCAAACAGAAAAAGCAGGAGCAAGAACAATTTGATGTGAGTATATAAAGTAAGAAAGAAGAGATTAATTTAGCAAATTAACAACAAAAACTGCTAAAAAGTCAAAACAATAAGAAATTGAGATTGCTGTGATGCTTTCAGGTCTGAAGCCCCATAGAGGCCATAGGCTGATCCCTGGGGAGGCTGAGGCCGGGAGGGCCATGGTGACACATGGGCAGGGCATTATTATGGGGCTCCTGCCCCAAGTAACAGCAGCCAGGCCCAGCTCAGCTCTTCCTCCCATTTCCGTGTGTGAACAGTGTGTCCTCTGGTCAGGACTAGGCAGAATGCGGCCAAGCTCCTGCAGCTCCCTCACTGAGAAAGCCCAGAGCCTTCTACTGCCTGCTGGGCTCCAGGTCAAGCCGAGGAGGAGACTTCTGGCCTTTCAGGAATGGCCATGGGCCTCTAATGCCTCGGTTTACCTCATCTATAAAACAATCATGACAGAAAACCCCAAGATCACAGGGGCTGATGTGAGGCTATGGCTCACACCCATGGAGCACTAGGTTTCCTGTAAGCAGTGACCCCGAGTGCTGCCATCTGAGCTCAAGGGCTGCTGAGTGCAGGGCAGGCTGTGTGCAGGTGTCAGAATTCACACTGAAAAGTCAATGTCGGCTCGGCGCCTATAGCTCAA